TTTTTTTTTTTTTTTTTCTTTCAATCTTTTAAGCAGAGGCTATATTGCGCAGACTCTCGTAAAATAATTTAAATTGGCAAAGTGGAACAGAAGCAGTGGGAAGGAAATGTTAAATCTTCAACTGTTTTTTCAATATTCTATCTAAAGAGGAAATCAGCGTTTGAATTTGATACAACGTTCTTTACGAAACCTGTACGCTTCTCAACTTCGTCCATAGTTAGTCATTACGCAAATAATAATTCCCTCTAGCTCTATCGCAATATTGAATGCGTACGATAACTTCAAAGTCGAATATTCCGACAACTTTGTTTGTAAAACAGTGTATCGGAATCTATCTCGATTCCGATAATTCTCGAACGAAAAAATCCGCAGATGATCGATTGAATATATATATATATATATATACACACATAGGTCCGATCGTTTCAGGAATCTCGAAATGTCTGGACAAGTTCCAGAGCCGTGCTGGAATCGAACTTGCCGAAATCGAACGTCAAGCGTCGAGCTCTGTTTCCGCGATCTGGCAAACACAGAATACACCTCGCTTCCGTTGGTCGATTCCACCCGCGTATTTACCGTCATTCGTATGCACACGTAGCGAACGTGTATGCATATCTAAAGGGGAAATAAGAGGGAGGGAGGGAGGGAGGGGGGGAGGGCGAGGGTTGACGAGCACCGGCCGGACAAAGCTGTAACCACGGCGGCACAAAGTGGCTTCGATTTCGGCAGTTCCGGGGTTATACAGTAGGCGGTGTGTGTGCAGCTCTCCTCGAGGCAACGGCATGACGCACATCAAAGATGCGAGCGTGCCGGGTGACTGTACTCTGGGTTCATCGTTCTCGGTTATGTAATGTTCGACCGTATGGTGCAAGCGCCTCGACGCTACTCGTGGCGCTAGAGTTGTCGGACGAGAGAAGCACGGTATACAGACACGGACGGGCCGCACCGAATCCTCCTCGCTGCAATACAGTAGCCGACCGCCTCTACCAACATACATACATACATACATACGTACATACGTACATACATACATTCGTTCCATACAACTCGACACACGTCTACTCGCGTACGTATTTCTGCATGCATACGTGCGTGCGTGTATTACACGCATTCATAGGCACATTCATGCATATATGTACACGTAGATAAATATACGCACACACGCGCATCCATGGACAAATATGCGCATACAGAGATACGCGTGTGTGTGTGCCATGTAGATACGCGTCGTATGTATATAACACGGGGAGCATGTTGAACATCGTTCGTCTCTCTCCTCTCTCGGTTCGGTAGCCTCGCCGGTTCTCTTCTTCTTCCTGCTCTAGCACACCCTCTTTCCTCCGTCTCGCTTTAGCGCCCTCGCAGCGCGCACGCCGAGCTGAGAACGAAAATAGAGAGCAACGGGAGCCCGCAACTGCAGCAGCAGCAGCAGCCGCATTTCTACTCTCTTTCCCTCAGTTTCACTCGCGTCTCTACTTTTCTGGTTCTACCCTGCCTACCTACCGACGGCGCCTCCGATTTCATTTCCACGTATTTCCCACGGCTTTTTCACTCGTTTCAACTCGCGAGGGGGCAAGAGCCGCTTACGAGAAGCTGCGCTGCTGGCCGGCCAGACTATTTCGATCGGCATCGTCCGTTCTCGAAAGGACGAGAGGAAAGGCCGCGAGCGTGTGCGGTGATCGATGAGGTTCACAAGCCCGAGGAATGGAATTTGTCGCGCGCATTCCACGCACGATGGCGCGCGTCCGAAAGCGCGGCTCGTAAGCCGCGATTGATTTAGGGGTTGCTTCGCGCAGGGATCGGGATGTATTCTTGGTCGAAATCCAGGTTAGAAGGCGTATAAATAGACCCAGCTGGAAATTGTCCTCCGTGAAACACACGGATTTCGGAATCGAATTTTCAACCCTTCGTTGTCGTTCCTCGTTGTCACGCCCGCGTCTTGTCGTTTATGTGCGATAATTGCACGATTTCGACAGAAAGCGAACGACAAAATCGAACACAGAAGTCGAACGATCGGTTCCGCGATATTTCCAAAGAAGTTGCAATTAGACAGTGCCAAGTACATATTCGAATAGTCCACGTTCTCTCGGTGATCGCGCTCGTGCTGCAGCTTTATCGATCGAGCCAAAAT